GCGTCTCAAAAGTGGCTCACCCCTATAACTTTTTTATTTGTTCAGATAAAAAAATCGAGATTTGGTATATTAGTATATTACATAAATTAGGATTGATTGACGTATTCAATTGTTTCCAGTCACTTCCTGTATTTTGTTACTTTATTCGATAGAAAATGACACTCTGAATAGAATGACATATCGTATGTCAACTTTTGACATTTTCGAATATGGTTTATTTGAAATTGCAGCATGCGTTTCATAACGATAATTTAACTCGAAATACCAAGTGTGTGGTACCAAATTATTCGTAAAAATGCTTTTCCAAATATGCTAATGAGCCACCCTCGTTCCATTTAAAAAAATTGAGATATGATTAAAAATAGGATTTGGGCAACTTTTAACTGGCCAGGACAAATCACGAAAAACTTTAGACGATCAAATTTATTTTTCCAAGGCTCTTTGATTAAAAATTTTTGTTTTTAACACAGCCATGGCACTCTAGATTGAAATTTAAAATTCAATTTCGTCTTAAGCGAAAATATCAAAAGTTGACGTATGATATGTCATTCTATTCAGAATGTCATTTTCTATAGAATAAATTAAACAAATATCGAGGGTGCCATTTAAAAACCAAAAGTTGTAGTCATTTCCGGTGAAACAGGAAGTGCCCGAAAACAATTGAACACGACAATCAATCCTAATTTATGCCATATACTATCATACCAAATCTCGTTTTTTTTATCTGAAAAAATAAAAAAGTTATAGGGGGTAACTTTACATTTTTTGTTGGCCGACAAACCCATTTTATTCGATATTTCCCCAGTATTTATATATTTATATTGAAGGTCTTAAAGCCAAAACACACGAGGCAGTTTATGGGCGTCTGTACAGCTGGCGTCGCCGTCGGCTCCTTAATGGGACTTCAATGTTACAAAACACACGGTATCTCGTTGCCGTCAGCCGTCGAGCGTACCCTCACTTGCACAAGCGGTTAAGATCAAAGTCGCGATGCTTATAAACAGCCTATAAACCACCTCGTGTGTCTGGCTCTTAAAATGTACCAAAACTACCTACTTACGTTTTACTGATATGTATTCATTAAGTAAACGCATTATTTTTTGTGTTAATTTTTACGATGTACTTAAACAGCCGTTAAACGGTAGCCTACTAAAATGCCGTTAATAGATATTGTGACGTCGTTCATGTCGGCGGAAAGTAATGCCTAACCTTAAGCTTTTTGCAAGAGCACATGTGGGTCAGTGGCTGAGGCTATCGCTTCGTAAGCCAATGGTCCGTGGTTCAAATCTCACGCCGACCAAGACTTTTTTATATTTTTTTTTGCTTATAGCGTGATCTTATTGCATTGGTTTCACTCTTTTTGGTTGGATTGGTTTAGTTATTTAGCGGGTTGGTTAGCGTGGTTATTTGGAGAGTGTTAATTCATTGGTTAGTTGGTTATTTGGTGGAGTTGGTTGATTTTTACTAATTTATATTTGTTTTTTATATTTTTTATCAGTGTCGAGGTTAGTTGCGTTGGTTAAGTTGGTTATTTGGAGGGGTGGATAGCGTTGGTTAGTCCTTATAAAATTCCTATATTTCATAAAGCCGTCAAGTGCGTCACATCAACGACGTCATACCTATTAACGGCATTTTAGTAAGCTACCGTTTAACGGCAGTTTAAGTACAGCCTAATTTTTATTTTCCATGAATACACTGCTTTTATTTCAAAAATTTCAAAAACGTTCATTTTTCTAATATTACCCAAAACAGTAATAAAACACACAATTATGCCCCTTCCGAATGAAATCTGAAACGCGTATAAAATTTACATCTAAAAGAATATATTTCATGTAATGAACAAATATCTTTCAAAAAGGTGGAATGTAGCAGTAGCGAATTCCTGGATATTAGAGAAAAAACAGATTGGTTTTATGAATTACTATGACATGCTGTCTGATTAAGTGCGGTGTGTGAAAATTTGGTGTTATAACAGAAAATTAAAGCACTAATTCATCAAAATACACCAAAACACTTTACTTGTGTTGTCTGAGATAAATTGGAATTTCATAGGTAACAATATATTATAGTAAAATTTCTGACAGTTTTGGTTGAGTATTGAGTATTACAAGCAGTAATTCCCTGAAAAAAAATCAGTCAGATCTGACCAAAGCTTAAATATTATCTGGCTCAATGATGAGCTCAGAGCAATGCGCAGTGGTCTGCAGTTGAAGAATGAAATTAGTATTATGAGACAATACAGATGCCCAGAAGTATTGCAGGATACATACGATTCAAAAATTAATACAAATCTGTCACTTAGTTGTGTGAGTAACTTCGAGGCGTGCGAATATACAGGGTGTGCCAGCACCATTATTTTCTAACAAGACAGTGAAAATTGCACTGAACATACTCAAAGCAATACATTGTATGCAGTCGTTTATTAGTGATGAATACTTCCTTGAATTTGACAACAGCGAAACAAAGCATAATCCCTGGCAAGTAATAAAGGGAAACATACTAATTCAACTTGTGGGACCGCTCAACATTACAACCCGCATATTTCTCATAGTTACGGAACAATTTGAAGTTAGAATCCGCTGTTGTTGTGTTTTGGAAGTCGCAGAATTTCTCGGTGTTTTGATTTTGAACTCAAAGGCGGGCGCCGGAGGAACGGCTCCTACCCATAGCTGCATACATACATGGTGTGCCAGCACCATTATTATTATATACACTGTCGTTTACTAGTGATGAATACTTCCTTGCATTTGACAACAATGAAACAAATAAAAATTCCTGGAAATAATAAAGGGAAACACACAAAGAGGAGAAAAATCAATAGAAAATACAGCGCAATCCTAAGTAATATATCTAGCACATTAGCAGCACATATTTTCTGTACCAACAGAATCAACCATAATTAAAATTCTGAATTAATATCATTATTCAACAAATATTTTTCGCACAAAGTAGTATAGAGAGAAGTAAAATATTTTCAATAATCAGCTGTGCTTAGTTTCTTAATGTTTGGAATTATTTCTTCAAAAACTACCCTGCGTATTCTTAAGCAATCAAGTATCTGTGCCTAGTTATAAAAAAATCACATAAGATCTGATATACTAATAATTATGTGATCATTACTTATAAAATATTTACTTCCAAAAATTTATATGAAACTGTCAAGGAAGACAATATTGACTATCTTAAATAATTTTTCTTTATTGTTATGCATTCCGCATTTTTGACGAATCTTTTCCCATTTGTGTCCAACTATATGGAACAAACTGTAGGTAGCTCTGTATGCCGCACTCAAAAAGAAAATGTAACAACCTCATAACCTTTGATATTACCATGGAAAACTAAATTAATCAATCCCAAAACAGAAAAATATTTACACCTCCATATACTTGCAGAATTCCATATAGAACCAAACAAAATTCCATATATAGTCTAAGAGCTGGCTAGATGAAAAACCTTATCATCGTTATATGGCTAATTTTTTGTGTGAAGTATCCTTTTATGTAGCCATTATGAAATAGTCATATCTGCCAGCGCGATCCCGGGGCTTAAAGCGGGGGCGGCCAATCGAAAGGATGAAATTTTGACACTAAAAATATTATAAGGTACTCCGAGTTATAATTGCAAAAATAGCTTTTATTTATTATTAAGAAACGTGGAAAATTGTGGGCAGACATTTTTCTAGTCGCTAAAATGCCGACAGACAACGCGAAAGAGGCATGAAATTTTAAAAATTATTAAAAAATTAAATTTGAAGAATGAAAAAAATTATGGCATACATGCATGCCGATTGGTGGAATGTAATATTTATTTATTTTAAAAGCCGTATGAAAAAGGGCAGACAAAAAGATCGTGGCTAAATCAGCTGCAGACAGTTATCCAAAGCGCGATATTGCTCTAGCGCTTTCAGGGAACGCTCGCTGCCTCGTCAATTTAAGTATAGATAAATCATGTATACGATAATATTATAAATATATTTTTTTATTATTTCAAAACAGATATCATATATTTACTTTTCTGTCTCACTATTTGTATCTGACTCATTGTACTGCAGATTCTCGCTCTCACGAACGAGTCTTCCTCTGAATCGATATCTGCACCTTAAATTTTTGTAGACTTACATGTATTATGTTTCAATTGATAACGCGGCAAGCGTTTCCTTAGGCTTAAATAAGTGAAAATGCTTTTAAGGATAATATATTTTTCAACCCCTGGAACACGCCTATGAGTTATTTTTTCGCAAAAAAAGATGTAGAAAATCGTGACTTTTTTTAATTTTCCTGTATATTTTAGAAAGCTTTTTAGAACTGCCTGTTCACCGCAAATTTACCCACGGTATAATTATTTCTTAACCTACCATGCTTACGGCTTTACTCTATGGCTACAACACTAAAAGAATGAATGCAAATACAGACAAAAACAGGTGGCTTACAAAATTATTTAAAAATAAATCATTTCTTTTTAAATTTTCGAACTTGAATCACTTGGTTATTTTGGACTTATTTGGAAAACAGTAAAAAGTAAATGCATATGTTTCTTTTATCGAGATCTACCAGCTCTGCAAATATTTGCACTTATTCAAGATTTATCCTGTAGAGTAATATCGCGCTTTTTATAACTGTCTACCGCTGATTTGGCCACGATTTTTTTGTCTGCCCTTTTGCATACGGCTTTTTAAATAAATAAACATGACATATTCCACCAATCGACATGCATGTATGCGATGATTTTTTTGTCAAAATTCCATGCTGTTTCGCGTTGTCTGCCGGCATTTTAACTACGAGAAAAATGTCTATCAACAATTTTACATGTTTTTTAATAATAATTAAAATCTACTTGACAATTATAACAAGTGTACCTTATAATATTTTTAGTGTCAAAATTTCACCCTTAATATTGGCCGCCCCTGCTTTAAGCCCCGGGATTGCGCTGACACACATGACTATTTCGTAATGGCTACACAAAAGGATACTTCGCACAAAAAATTAGCCATGTAACGATGATAAGGTTTTTTATGTAGCCAGCTCTCCGTCTAATAGGAAAATAATACATGTGTGTGATCAGTTCTGACTTTGCATATATTTATTGCTTTCAGAAATCTCTTCAGAAAAACTATCTGGATACACATTTTTTGCCCTATGCCAACATCTGATTGATACCTACAAAATATCAAATACCTACAATGTAGAATGAGTAGAAGTAGTCTACAATGTAGGGATAATATTAAAACCTAAAATAACCTAAAAATGTCATAATACCTGTATTTATAAACAGTATCATGTGCGTTGGTAATATCCATTTTAAAAACTTCTAAACACATATTTCTTACAACAATATTATATACATATTATGTATTTTGGTCTCATTATCTACTTATAGGGACCAACATTTTCTTCAACACTCCTAGAATATGAAAGAGCAACCCATCAGATATGTCTTATCTTGTATATGTTATGGCTTTGTAACTGAAGAGTTATCTTCGCAGTCATTGGCATGGGCAGTAGAAAGATCTTTTGGCAGCACATTTTTTACCCAAGTGAGACATCCCCTCAGACTTAGCTATAAAAATAAATTATTTTGTTAGGTAAATACTATCACCAGAAAAAAAAAACAGGGGTTTAAGTTGATAGAAAAATATAACACAAAACACCACTCTGAATTCATGTTTGATTCAAAGCATTAATTACCATAAATGAAGGGTAAGGGGAAAAACCGACGCACAGTGCTTCGAACATATGGCTCTAGAGGACAAAAATGCAAAACTTCTATTTTATTGTAGGCAATTTATTCCAAACTAGGTTTATTTGACACAAATGATGAGTACTCTCATTGTACTAAATGATGATGTTCTTAGTCCCACGTTTATGAAAAAAAATCTTATAAATAATAAAAATGTTGGAGCTCTGTTCCATCTAAGGAAATAATAATTTATAGTATGAAAACGGTGTAAGTATTAAATAAATTCCTGTGATAAAAAAGAATTGGAATAACATTAGAACATGATCCTACAATATAAACCTAATATAAGATAAAAATATTTTTCTTTAATGAAAAAGAAACATTAATGTTATATTTAATTTAAAAAAAAACTTAAGATACTATAAATTTACTTTAGGACAACAAAATGCATAGATCGTAACTACTCTGATTCAGAAGAATCATTGCTGACAGAATCTTCCAAATTTATACTATCCAAATCACAGGTAGATGAAATATCCTCACATATAAGATATTACTATACATCATTTTCTAATATGTTACTTTTTCGCGTTGTTACTGTTCTTTTTGTTGGTATGAGGGGTTTGGATGTTAATAGTTACCTCTTTAATAGACCATATCCATATATTATTTTTTCGTTTTCTTGGGTATGAGGTTTTATAATAAATTGAAAGATGGGAACATTTTTTATGCCACGTTTCGCTCCAACATAGTGGGCTCAGGCACAAGTGGTTATCTCATTGGACTGGAAGGTTCATCAATATCTAATAAAGAACACATTTTTTGAAATATAAATAATTTTGAGTTCTTGTCCCTATGATCCAGCCAATTATTAACCAGATCGGTATTGCTTATCAATTTTACTCCATCTGAAAAGTATTATAAAATAAAGTTCGTCGCAAGCAGACGCAGGTGAACTATGCAAAAATTAAAAGTGTATGAATATGGCAACAAAAATATTCAATAAATACGATACGTTTTGATATGTTTTTTTAATGCCTTTTTGAAGTTTGAAAACGTAAAATGTTTATGCCCATTTAAGAATCATCTTAAAAAATAAATAAAAACTAAACAATAACGAACTTGTTTAGAAATAAATTTAGAGTACATACCTTGTTTAACAATATCCATAGTGACTTTCAATTAAGTACGTAACGTTTAACTCCATATACAGAACTACTATGAATGTTATTCTTTTCACTGATATAAGATAATGATTTATAAATAAATTTATTTTTAGTGAAAATATTTGCTAACAAAAAACGCTGTTTATGAAAAATAATATATAGGATGGTTGAACATTGCTATAAATATAAAATTACATATTCAGATATTAGTAAATTTTAACTTTTTTTCGATTTTTGTCCATGAGACGAAGCACTGTGCAACGTCACAACACCGACTTACGGAGAAAATGATAATTTAATATTGCCAAATACCATATTCAATTAAAACTGACATGTATTTAGGGCTTGATATTCTCAAACAAATTAGATTGATTACTTAAAAATTCCATAAAATGGGTATTGTTGTTTTTTTACCCTTACTGTTCAAATAACAAAACAAAAATGTAGGTAAAACAGGTTTTGTATGATGGTATTAAATCATAATTTATTGATTTGGTAATAATTTACTGTTCAATGTCGCCATATATGGCATTTAACGGAAACACTTTAAAATCAGCTTAAACTTAATTAACTACTCAGGTTAAATTTAAACGTTTTTTACACAATACAATATAGGTATTTGAATGTACTGTCTGGACTCATAATAGGATTTCAAAAACCGGTGGCGGCGGCAGTAATACAAAATAATTTCATAATCGAACTGGCTATTTTTTGTTAAATCTTCCCGTTGTTTCAGGTCCCAAAATAGAAATTATGGATATTGTAGTTCGATATTCAGGTTAAAGTCACAATAGTGTTATATTTTATTAAGCACCGTTCTCAGAACTTCGTACTGTCGCCAGCAAAGATATTTAAACTCGGGAGATATAATGATCCATTCATAAAACGCTCTAACACTTCATCACACATTGGTTTGCGAAAATCAACGAGTGCGAGAGAGAATGGATAGAGAAGGAAATAGGGTACCTGCGCGATGGCAACAATGTAGGTGTGTACAAAGATTAGACGTATATTAAGACAGACAGCATGGTACAAAGAAAACAAGGTATGATATTGCGCAGGTTGGTCGCTAGGTTACAGGTGATAACAGGCGCTATTGGTCAGCACGCTCCGCGCGCCAGTTCAAATCGTCAAGATACTGTAATGAACCTGTTTTTTTTTGTTTATATACCGTCATTGAACTATCGCTAAGCAAGTTACTGTGGATCGCATCGTTACTGTGGTCAGGCTAGGAAGCGAGAGACCGGAGTTCGAATCTCGGCCGGAGCATAACTTTTTTATTTAATTTTTTAAATACTGTTGTATTCTATAGTTTATTTTTATAGTATACAAAAACGAACTCTTTATTCTGTTATTTTTTAATCTCCGGTATTAATACAAATTGATTGTACTGTATGGGACCCTAATTGTACCTAAAAGTAATATATTTTTACAGTGATATACCATATTGTAAACTATTTAATATTTCAGTCACTTAAAAAGTTAATTTGTATTGAATACTGCTGTCCTGGGCAAAACAGAAACCGGACGATTCTAGCTATGATACATGCGACCCTACAAAATTGCAAATGTATTGAAATTATCCAAATAAACTTCTTACTTACCGGACATACATATATGCCCGTCGATTCAGTTCAAGACATTTTCCAAGCGTGAAAAGTTTTTTTTCGTTTACCCATTGTTGGTTTGTTACAGTAACGTTTTGTTTTTCAATGACGTTTTTTTGGTATTTTTGCTGTACATTTTTAGCCTTAAATGCCTTTACCAAAGATTAAAAGTTTATTTTGTTTATTATTAGTTTGTTTCTACAGTTTTAAGGCTTGAAACTGAGAAAGTAATTGTCGTGTATTCTGTATCTTTTGCCATGTTAAGCTAAGATTCAAAATATTTTTGTAATACCTTTGAAATAAATACAGCAAAACTTATTTAGCCCCTTTTTAAATCCCTGATTTGTTTATAGACTAAAAGTAATATATTTTTACAGTGATATACCATATTGTAAACTATTTAATATTTCAGTCACTTAAAAAGTTAATTTGTATTGAATAATTGCCTACCATTAAAGGAAATTTGAGCTATAATCCTAGATGGGCATATTCTGGGTATGCAAGTACTTCCTCTAAATTTTGGGTTTCGTACAACCGATTTATACTCAAAACCTGAAACATCTACATATAAAAAGAAGCACAGGTCACTGATTATAATAAACTTCACCCTTGGAATTACTTCCACTAATTATAATAAATTTCACCCTTGGAATTACTTCTATTACAATTACAATACATTCATCTGCATTGGCATTTTCTACTTTTCGATGGGAAACAATCAACTTCCCAACATTTTTTAAATGATGTGTAACAATTTCTCTGTCCATATAAACATCGCAAACTAAAAACCTAATAAACAATTTTATACCGAATATAGAAATAAATTTAGTATTCTTACCTATTATGGTCCAAATCCATGTTAATAGATAATTAATATTTTGGATTTTTGTCTTTTATTTTTAAATATATATTTTGGAACTGCTGGTTGTAGTAATTATTAAATTAAACGAACTAAAAAGTCAGAAAAAATAAACAATTCTTAACCAGAACCCTAAAAAATATAAAAATGCAGATCTCTCTGTCAACTTTCTTTATTTTTTATTTATTAATTATTTTCCTAGTGACGTCACAGGTGGTATGCGCGAACTGAACGAAATTGGAGCCTCTATCGATCATACCTTGTATTCTTTGTACCATGGACAGACAGTATATTTTCAGGAAATTAAAATAATAGTTTAATAAATTAAGAAAAAATAATAAAATTTACATATTTGTCGCATTGTGAAAAAAATCAGTTGAGGGGGGATAGTGATACAAATAAAAACCGGCATAGTTTTTTATTACAAGATGGCTTTTCACATAAGAATAACGATTAAAAAAATCAACAAGGGTTTTTTTACTTTATTTTATTAAATAAAATATCAAATTTTAGGTGTATTAGTAAATGCAGTTTCAATATCTTGTTCCAAACGTTGTTCGTCTCCGGCGAATGAGACTCCCTCTATTAGCCATAACAAAATAAAATAATTATTTAACCTAGTAACACAATATTTTACCAAAAACTAATGTTTGTAGAGTTTACATATTTTTGAAAAAACTTTATTATTATATGTATATGTATTATAATAGGGCTGGCATTTCTGGTCTTGGGAGCCAATTTTCGTGTGTACGAAGAGTACGGTCAACACGCTTAGAAAAATAAGATGTACTGAATAAAGACAGAAGGCAAGTATTTTCCCAAGCGCATGGAATCTAGCGTCAGTTTAAGTGGTTAAGTCACTCTATACATGTAAACGCCGACCCAAGGTTTCGTTTGCCAGCAGGGTATATATGAATTTTACAACTACAATAAAAAAACAGAGAATAAAATTTAAAATGTGCCCTATAATTTTTATTAGTTCACAATTGTTCAGTAATGAGGGGTTAAGAAATAAGAAAACTCAACATTTATTTACCTTAACATTCATTTTAGGGATGTTCCAATTGTAATATGGTGCCTATATGTATGTTAAGGACCTGCCTATTAAAATTAGCTCATGTGGATGATTGCCCATATGAATTTTAAGCAAATTTATTTCATCTGTATGCATATGGTTAATTTAGTTTGAGTAGATGTTTGCCTACTGGATTAAAATGCCAATGGATATTGATGGACTTATAGAGATTA